TATATATCGGCTTTAGAAAAACGGTTAACTTTAACAGCATCACATATCTTATAAAATTTAGCAGGGCTCATTTTAAAATGAATAATAAGAAATTTCATAGCATCAAACCAGGGATTCTAACGGGTATCATTAGGAGTCTTTAAGTATACATCCAATTTGGTTTTAACTATGTCGGCCATTTGACTAGAACGGTTCTGTTTGTTCCAAATAGCTTGACATTTTGCAAATGTAGATGCTAAAATACTAAAATCCTAAAAAAAAAATATTGTTATACTATTAAAGTATTCCGAATATAGTATTTGGAATACTTTCGAAGGTATTCTGAATACTGAATAAAATACTTTTAGGAAAAGTATTTTCAAAAGTATTCTGAATACCTAAATAGTATTCGGAATAAAGTATTCCGAATACTACCCAAGACTGCACACAAATAATAATAATAATAATAATATACATGTATATATTATTATTTACAATACATAAAAAGGATCTTATTCTCACATATATTATGTATCGTAAATACGTGGAGGTATATATTGTATATACTTTCACACAAAAAACAAATCGGCAAAGGTACCTTTTCGAATCCTGCAATTTTCAACTCTCAAATATTAAACAATGGCCGAAGTATCTATAATCTTACTGCAACTAACGATAATATATATCCTGGTTTCTGTGGACTTACAAATATCCCTGTAATAATAATAATAATAATACAAGTGGGTCGTTATGTGTGTACACCCATGACCGTGCGTGAAATGCAACGTAATGATTTTTCGAAAAACGGCACAGCTTCACCACATCTACGATGTCGGCATAATTTAATATCAAACTACCACTGACGAAACACAATTAAATAACACTCGGAATTATCTATGGCGTCAAACAGCCACTGTTTTTGCTTTTTTCGTATATTAAATTAGTTGACGAATCTTTTAACCTTTTGGATTATAATACTAGGATAAGTTTTTAAATTTTTTCAGTTTTCTCGTTATATTTCATTTCTCCGTCGCTAATTAAAAATCTTATTCTACTGAAAACTTGTATGACAACAAATATCGCTAAATTACAGACTACGGTTATTCGAAGTATTAGCCAGCTCTTTAAAGAACTTTAAATCGATCCGAAATGAAAGATAAAGAATAAGAGCATGGATTGCTGAATAAATTGTTTTATTCGCCTATTTGAAGAAACATAATTCCAGCAGTACCGATAAAATAAAAAAATAAACTTGAATCGTATGGTTGCAGATGTCAGTTGTTATGATACACTTCAATACACTCGAGTAATATTTACATTGCCATGACTCGAGCGACAAAGCCACCCAAAAGTGAATCATAAAATAATGTATTCCCCCTTAGTTTACAGAATATTTGTTTTTTTCGATTAAGTAATATTATGAACACTTAATATTTCTTTGTAAGTCACCATAAAAGTTATTTTTAGTATTGCAATTTTCAGCGTGTTACTGTGTTAGTGATATTTTCTTATCCAATATTTGAAATCTATCCTCACCAGTATCAGATATACTATAAGAACTTACTAAACTTGCAGATGATTAAATTTAAGTAAGCTGCTAAGTAATTTGAATTTTTATTTTCACTCAATAAATATACATTATATTAGCATTATTCAGTCAAAATGTTGAATTGTTTCGAACAAAACTGTACGTCGTGCTTTTACGGAATATTTCATTTTTAAACTGTACTCAAAACTGACGAGTAAAATTATCATGGTATCAAATCACAATAATATGCTTAKATAAAAATTTCTTTTTAATGATGTATAATCTAAAAGTATTAATTAAACAGAAAACTATAAAATAGAAATAATAATTACTATTATTAGTAATATTTTTTAAATAAAAATTGAGTAAAACCTTTTTTTTACCACAGCGTTTAAGGTCGATTTTATTCACTTGATATCATTATAGTGTAGTAAAATTTTCTAGTCATCATGAAATTCTGATGTAACAATKCTGTATAAACGTCAAACCAACATGTTGGTAAAGTACCTCTAGTTAAGATGCTTTTATTATTATACCACGGTTTTCCAACGCACCTAGAGAAATACAAATAATACTATTTAATCGTAACAAACATGTCGTTTCATTTGGCCATAATATATCCTGAAGTGAAATTTCAAAAACGTTATTATACTTATTATATCATACAGTACAATGATAAATGGTATTAAAAAAAATAAATAGTCAGAAATGAATATAAATAATATAAATCAGTCAACCGTTAAAATGTGTTTAATGAATTAAAGGAAACAACTTTGTATAACGGAAAAACAATACTTACTTAAATGCAAATAAAATATATTGAAAGTAGGATGTACCGCGATCGTGCATTAAGTATTGAAGTTTTGTATTGAGATTATGGAATTTTCAACAGCAAATTCTACTGAAACTGTTACAAATATTATTATACTATTAAACAGACTATGCTATTCCAACTAAATTTGAGAGATTTTTCAAATATAAATTAAATTTTATTGCAAAATAATTGCAAAAATAAAATATATACATTTTAATATTAAATTAGCTGGATTAGTTTATCCTAAATATCTTAGACTATTTCCTTTCATAAATTCACTATTCCCAAGAAATTGTTTTGCTATATATTTATTGAATCGTTTAAATTTAAAAATCTCTTTACACCATAAATACTATCCTCCTGAGTGAGTACCAAAAGCATTTTAAATTTAATCGATTTTAAATTAATAATTTCATAAGCTATATTCATTATTTTAGCGTACATGTAAGTTAATTATTAAATTCTATAATTTCCTTTTCGTTTTCAGAAAACCTCTAAACAAAAATGGAATCCGAGCCGGTAATTGTGGTAGATCAAGAAAACTGTATTAATGAAGAAGACGAAGATATAGATGATGTGGCCGGAAATGGGCAAGGATGTCCCGACACTCCTCCTCAGGATCCTTTTTTTCTATCACCTTTTAGAGACATGCGGAAACGTTCATTACCGACACCACAATGCACATCGGGAATAACTGCTAGTCAAGTAACTTTAAAAAAAATCTTTTTTTTTTTTAATGGCGTAAACATTTTTTCTTTTTAACCATACTAAATGGAATTAACAATAATATAAGTACTGATGTATCTGAACTATACATAACACTGCAACATATATTTATAGAATATTAAAATCAAAACATTCAGATTTATTTTGTTTAATTTTTAATTTAGGACTTTATTTACAGTGGTTAATCGTAAAAAATGTGATTAAACTTGCAGAATTATTTTTCATACAATATAATGACAAGAGAATGAATGTGTTTGTATTATATTCGAATAATATTAACAGCTATTTAAATGTTAATCTTTAAAATCTTTAAAATTTAACACAATTGACAACTTGACAGTATTTTGTTAAATGGGCGTATACCAAATTTTACATTTTTTCAAGAAACAAATAAAACTGATTAAATACTCAATTTTTAAGATAAAATATTCATTTATACATTATATTAAACATGAGACTCTGCGACACTAAAATTGCTTAAACTAAATTTGTATTTAATGATATATTCATTTTTCTTTAAATGCATGTGGTGTAGGTGCTTTTAAAAATTTTAATTTTATAAATTACATATTATGGACATATAATAATAGTGGTGTAAGTCCTTTTAAGCTTATTGTTAAACTGATAATATCAAATTAGAGGGAAATTTGTTATCAATTGCTATCAATACAAATGATGATCAACGTTTAACCTAATAAAACCACATTGTTCAATCTGGTAATATAATATAAACAGCAACAATCACAATTATTATTGTTATAAAAATATAAACTGCGTAGATTATAACTTAAAAACAATTATTATAGCATACATTCTTTGTGGTATACGCCCTTTCAACAATTATGTGTAGATTATTTTAATTTTTAAAAGGACGTCTGTATATCTTGCATTCGGTATTGCTATCATATTTCTCCATAGATGAGTCCACCGTTTTATTATTCTCGTGATTTTTCTGAAAATTTTTCTGTCAAAAACGTATTTTTCGATTTTTAGTGGTAAACGCCCTTTTGACAAAATATCGTCGAGTCATCTTTTACTGAAACACGCCGAGGAAGGTACAATCAACACAGACTTCATCGATTTTTTTATACTAACTTTATAATATAATGGCAATTTAAATTTTATTTGCCTTCTTTTTTGTCCTATTATAGATTATAGATAATGTTTCAAAATCAGTGACACCGGAGCAATATGCTCTTTTTACTTCGACCTTTAAATAGTTTTAAATTGAACTGTAATACATTTTTATGTAAGTATAAGGTATGAAAAATAGATAACTAACGTATCGCATTTTAAAATAAATAGGATGCGTGTCTTATCCCTTTTCTTTCAATACCTAACCATTTTTTTATATTAGCCTAGAGGTAAAATATGGAAAAAGCCTGTCCTAAATATGCATTTTTTAAGAATCGATAATGTAGATTGACACAAATTGAAAATGCAGAGATTACTCGTTACTAAATAATTATTACTTTCATTAAATCATTTCACAAAATCACGTTTATGTACAATATAACTAAAATAATGATTATTTGATAAAATATTATTTGAAAAGCTCAAATATTTTTGTTTTTTTTTTTTCAATCGAATTGAATTAATATGGATTGTGGATCAGCTCAATGTGTTTACATAGGAATATTATTAAGATACCTTCACTATTTAATTTGTATTGGATTTAGCTTAGCTTCGGAAGCCGAATCACTGAGACTGAAGGCTTAAAAGTTACAATTTAATTAATAGATTCACTATCATTAAATGGATACTTGTGTAGTTGTATAATAGTTATGTGGTCCCGCAGGGCCGCAGCCCACGTAACTTTTTAACATTGAAACTTCAAATATTTTAAAATCATGATTTTCAATCTCCCTGATTGTGTTGCAAATTATACCATCCATTTTATTGTATTTATTTATAATTCAAGTGCTTAAAAATATGTATGGGTGTAGTATATAATGATACCATATTTGATACGGCATCAAAAATAATTCTAATATAAAATTGGTGTAAATAATGATTTGTTAATTAATATTAATATTATTATTATCCAAAACTTAACATACCTAGTTTTGATTGCCTCAGCCATCGTTTGAAGTACTTTGATTAAAAAAGTTCCTATTTTTGAACAAATTATTTGTAACGGTGATATTATTTATCTTTCGCATTCAGTAATATTACATTTAGATTATTGTTATAATACTAGTTCATCATGCAGATCAGGGAACTTATTAATAGCATTTTCTGACTTACTTAAACGATGTATATAGATGTATATATATATATATGTATGTTTGCAACAACAAAAAGATTGTTTAAATTACGCCATAGATATTATGTTCTTGGTATACCTATGTCTTATATGTTTTTAAATAAGCTATACTCTTCAAACGAATATGCTGAAATACGAATATTTTTATAAAATTCCAATATATATATATATAATCTATATGAAAATATAGTAATGATTCAAGACAATTAAAATTATTATGTAATATAATTCTATACCAATTGGTGATGAGTCAATCACACTATTGAATGTAATAAATTTATATTTACGAATTGTATATTTACATTATTGATTCGTATATAATTAAAACTAATTAAATTCAAATTGATGTATTTAGTTTTCAAGACTTTTACATGTAGATAAAATGTATAAATCATAATAGTATATAATATTACCATCATTTGTAATAGCTTTTATAAAACATAAAAAATTGAATTCTGAATAGGTAATATATTGATTTGCATACGGATCATGCATAATAATATACCTTTGACAAATAAAAACGGAAACTCCTAATTGAGTGGTTCTACAGATGATTCTGGAAGCTTTTAAATTATCTCTGTCCTGAGCGGTATCGAACGGTTTGCCAAAAATGTGTTTGATGTTGAGAATATAAGTTTGCTTGTGCAATATGATCCCAGCAGGAAGTACAAGTTGGAGTGCCTTCATTCGGCCATTAAGAAACAATGTGATACGTCTGTGTGTCCAACCCTAAGTTTTTTGACAATAACATTCATAGACTTTCTGGAAAACTTGAGACGATAGGAGGACCAAAAATTGATTATTTGTGAGATTTTATGAATTTTAGTTAAATGGAACAGCCATAATAATGGTAGTTAGTTTCGTGCACCTACGCGTGCAAGTATTATTATTAAGTCAAGTATATTATCCCTGTGCATGAAAATTTTTAGGAATAGACTAGATTTTATATGGGTAAAATTAGAATTTTAACTGTTTAACACAGTAGTGTGTATAGGTTAGGTACTACGGAAAAAAATTAAAAGACTACATTTCGGTTATCCAACACATTATATATAAAATAATAATAATATATGTTGGACTAGATATTTTGGATCGGAGTACTGTGGAAGTCACTACATTTTTAAAAACAAAATATTTACCTATTATGATAAAAGATTGCATTAATCTGATAAAATATGTTATAATATCGTTGTATAAAAAGCTGACACTCTAATTTATTTATTTTTTTATCCATTTTGTGGATTATTTTACGTCTATTAGAAGAATATATCTTAAAATTAATTGTTTGTTAGCTAATATTCAATAAATTTTGATCACAACCATGCGTTCTCGACTGCTTTCATTATATTTTAATATGTTTCCTAAAAACTTACATTCAGATAAGCATTAAATTTCCTTAGTTAATTAATGTATCGTTAACCTAAAAATAATAATAATATATTAAAAAAAGAGATTATTTTTACAGTGAACACTTGATATTTTAAAAAATGTTAACTTTTTTCAAGTTTGTTGTTTGGAAAATGTATTATCTGCATAACTCTAGCTTTTATATTGTATTGTATTCATTATTTGTCAGTAGCTCGAACATTATATTCACTAACTAAAAACTTTTGATTTTTAAATAGTTGTCAAAACATTCTTAGAAAATTATATAGCTCCAGATTATATGAAATTAAATTTATAACTATATATGTTGCCGCTAGAAACTAAGAAATCGATAGTAGTTTCACTAACAGACATGTTATAATATATGAAAATGGAAAAATAAAAATAAGGGCAGTAAAATATTTCTCGAAAGAATCATAAGAAGGCATCTTTAAAAAAAACCGTTAATATGCATATACTCTCTGACAGAACCAAACGTTCAGTTATCATGTACCAGCGTATATATACATATACTATAAAACCAGCAATAGTATACAGCGATCTGTCACCCTATTTGTAAGAGATAACGGAGTAGTTGCACCCGATTTTAGCTCTAGTTTGTTCATGTATTTGTAATTTGTAACTTTATAACATTAAAGCTGTCAATATAGGTTAAAATAAAAAATAAATCATCACTGAGAAGTTCTTCACCATGGGTGTGTTATGCTTAAAAAAAAAATTAATCACCTATCCCGCTACATGCAAGCCATGGCAGATACTTTTGGATACTCTACTTCCAGCTATATTGTACCTATTTTTTGTGTGGTGGTTTTGCTGCAGGTGCGGAGGTTGAGCGATCAGGGAGCGGCAGGTGCAGCTGCCAGGGAACAGGCTTTCTTAGCCACGTTGACCAAGGCACCGGGGCCCTATACCCCGGGTCGCCGACATTCGGTCATCACGATATCAAAAGCGCCCATGCCATTGTTCGGCCGCAACAGGCGCGAATCGATTGCAGCGTTCCCCAGCAAGGGTCCGAGGGTGAACCGCAGGGACTCAGCCGGTGGTGCCACGCCGTCTCCCACCGGTAGCCAATTCAACTTGCAGCTGGACATCATGGACGACATAGCAGACATCAAGGCGGCGCGGAAGGTCAGGATGAAGATGTGGCAAACCGAGGACAAGGAAAAGATGTACGAACTTCAATCGATAGACGGTGAAAACAAGCAAATGTCCAGGTGTGTATGAATTCGCAGTATATGCCTATAATAATATAATATCATAATTTATAAGTATTGTGATTATGGATGTACTTGACCCAAGTATAATTGAAGGATTAAGTGAATTCCTTATAAAAAATCTTTATTATTGTACGGAAGAAAGCGAACTACAGTATAAATAGGAACACATATATATCAAAATTATTATTGTGAGCCAGTTAAACCGCTATTTTTGGAGATACAAAGCTGCTAAAGGAGATAACAATGATAAATTTAGGTACATTTTATGGATACAGGTGTGAACAATTTGAAAAATTTCACTTAATACTCAATCCACTCTACCATTCAATTATAATTTTTTATATACCTATTAAATTATCCGTCTATGTACTTACAATCATTTTTTCTCCATCAATGATTTGTTTTTATAACCTACCTTAACCTATCATTTAGTCTATACCTAAAAGAGTACAGGAACTATTGTTTTTATTTATAATTTTTATAATGATCACATTTTAATGAAAGTCTAAATATTATTTTTATACAACCAAAAGGAAAATATTGATCGAAAATTATCGTTATATTTAATTTTCATTAATTAATACAAAATATTGTTCTTTTATATTAACTATGCAATTTAGTTAAGTCGTGGGGGGAATAGCACGAAGCCGGTACCTCGTAAAATTTCTAAAACCTTATAACTATATAAAATCATATTATATTTTTCATATCCTCAAAAAGAATTACTTTACCTAGTTAAATGGATCATTCCTTTTATACATATTTAATATATTCTACTATATTGTGTACAATTGTGTTTCAAATAAGCGAAGTTTATAAACGTCAATTGAATTTATTAACTACCAATGAGAAAAACTATATACCTACCGACAACGTTAGCATGGGTATATATTTACGAAAATATAAAAACGTTATGAATAACATTATATTGTTAATATATTCAGCTTTATACATTTATATTGAAAACTTTTTGGGAGTTCTATGTATAATATTACTCACCAATGTTTTTATTTAAATAAATATGTATTTTCAAAAACACTTGTGAAGGTGCCTATTAAACACAGGTACTCTCTTTATCAATATATCTTTATTTGGTATGTAATATTATCTACAGATCTGAAATATATGAACATCGACCTCCTCAAATTAAATTTAAAAAATAGTTCAATAAATTTATTTTTACTCTATACATTTACGGTGCTAATTTCAGAGATTTTCACTATCCCAATCTATTCTCATGTTTTTGTATAAAATTATTTTACTGTTAATTAAGTATAATATAGTTAAACCATATTATATATAGTTATAACTGGTTGCATCACAAAGATGACTATGAACAAATGTGTAATCCAAATTACAGCCGGGATTATATTTAAGTTCTAGATTATTTTTATGATTTTAAGATATATCAAGAATAATAATGTTATTTCAATTTATATTATCGTTCACTGTTTAATGACGAAATTTAAAAATTAACCAAATTGGTGTTTATAACAAAATATGTCAAATTCGTATCTAATGCAATGACATTAATTTTGAAAGAATATATATCAGGAATTTAAAAAATTTATTATGACAACACTTCAAATAAAATGTAATCATAATACAACATGCTTGTAATATGTAGTAATGATGGTATACCATAAAATCCATATAAATATCAAAAGGAAAATTGAGTTCCACGATAATATATAGTTTTAATTTTTATATTTTTAATCATAAAACATACAAAAAAAAAAAATTCGAAATACGTGAAAAAATCTGGTCCTCAAATAGTCTGTAAAAAAAGTATATATAAACAGTATACCCTTACACAAATTTCAATATTAAAAAAATTTTCAAGATTATCATTAATCATACTATTAAATTTGTATAGCCTAATAATAACAGAAACCAAAAAAGGAAAATCGCAAATCCATTATTTTGTTTTTAAGCAGCAAGGTACTTTTTGCAGATTTTGATTGAATTCAGTTAATTAGGATATGTAAACAGAATAATTTTTTGGAAGCGAAACATAAAATTAATTTTTCTATAAAAACAATATTTAAAAAAGCGGGTAGGTCGTGTATGTCGCTCTGCTGTACAGTAGGTTACAAGTGGGTTACTGTAATGGATGGAATTAAATTTGAATCCAATGATATTTTATCATTGTATACGAAAAACAATTCAGAGCGAAGACGGTTTATCTGTCTAGGATATATTATAGATTATTAAAAATTTTCAAATCTTAGATTTAAAAAGAACATTTTTTATGAATTTCTAGATTAAAATAATTTGTGAATTTTCGTGATTTTTACGTATTTTGTCAAAATTCAAACTTTGAATGCTTATAAAAAAAAATGGTGACTATGAATTTATTTTATTTTTCAACTGCTATTGTAACAATATGTTAAGAGCCTTGTATTAAATTTTCAAGCTTTTCTGCCTAACAAATAAATTTTTATCGATATTAATTTAAAAAAAACTAATAATGATCGAAAATTTGAAATGCCTATGAATAGTTCAACTTAAGTCGAAATATTTTGAAAATTGCATGGTGGATAGAATATACTTATATAAACATTAGGTTAAAATTGTATGTATCTATGGCCATTTGTTTTAAAGTTACATCAAAAACCAAAATCGATTTTGTCGAAAAATGAGTGTGCGTAAAATTTCCTGTTTTTCCCTTAACTTTTAGTTTGTTTTTCTCAATTATTTAGAAAAKTATTAAGAATTTTTTACTTTTGACCCTCCAAAGTACCAACTAGATTCACTTTCTGATCGAACGAGGTACTGAAGTCAAAAATTGAAGCATTTTTATTGCCCCAAAACGTGATGACAGACACAAAAAAAAACACACATCATGGTAAAATCAATACATTCATCGCTCCGCTCAGAATCTGAAAATTTGGAATGTATCTAATTTAATAATGCCTAGAGCATTTACGAAATCAGACAGAAATGTATTTTAATCTTCCTAAACTTTAAAAATAAAACGTGAAATGTTTCATTAAAATTATGTTTACGTGTATAGTTAATATCACATTAACTGATTATTGACAACGATAATATTATAAATCAATGACTAATATTTAATAAGTAGGTATATGGTATATCCGAATGTATAATAATATATTGTTATATGCCTTACTAATTCTGGCTATAAATTAAAATATCTTTTATATTGTTTTATGATTTAAATTATTGCATATAAAAAAAATTCCTAGTCTAATTGTCATTAAAAGTTTTCCATGTAAAAATATTATTTACAAATGTATAGGAAACACGGAAAGTGTGATGTTCGGATATATATAAATATAAAATGAGTTTTTCAACGTTTTCTATTCAAAGTTTCTATACATAAAATGGAATATACACATTACACATTAAATATTATATATATTATATACATTATACATGGAATTCATTTCAAAAATTCGAAAGAGAAATAATATTTTTATTTCTTTTTATCAAGTTTGATTCCGTTACGTTCTCTCGTATAGTGTACAACAGCATGTTATATATTATGTATATTTTCGTTTTTATACGAAAAACTGTCAAAATTATATTTAAAAATGAAAAATAATATAAAATCATCATAAAATTTCAATAAATAAACAAAATTATCATTGGAAGTATAATTTACGCGAAATGAAAAAAATGACTAAATCGATATTACCATGTTAGTTTAATACTCCCAATAAAATAATTAATGAATATTTTCAGAAATTTACGCATTTTGCAGTAAGAATGCAGCACGAAAGTAAATATGTCTCTCACGAGCCTCAACCCTTTATTCATAGAAATGTAAAAATTTTAAATGTTTACGCATTTTATCCCTCTGCTTACTTACTATATACATATACGATGGTGGCGGGATATAAATCTGTAATCTTGTGGAAAATATATACCATTTTGTCAACACGCAGAAAAAAGCAAAGCATAACGTACCGCAATCTCTTTGATACGCGGGTTGCATGCGATAAAATAATAGCATGATATTTTTCACCCGTAACTTTTCAACGGGAAAAAAAATATTTCAGTTAAGAAAACCATTTTTATACATTCGGAATAGTATAAACTGCAAACAAAGAGAATGAACGCAAATATTTTTATTTCTTCTGGACAATTGAACACAAAGCAAAAAAAAAAAGTATAAACTCGCTGAGAAAATATTTCACTTTGGCGGACAGCGTAGGTATATATTTGTTGTGGCAATATAATATTGCGATGCGCGCATTGTGTACCTACTACCTACCTTACCTACATGGTTATTGTATTACAATAATAATAATATAATTATTAAAGCCTTAAACCGAACTCTACAAATCTGTTCGGGGGATTGGTAAGATGATGATGCGGGGGTGGTTAATGGCTGCGATAAGGCGGTAATAATGTGTAAACGATTGTGGTGGCTCAGGCAGARCGATGCTTTTATTATACACTATTCGGTCTATACATAATAATAACAAATTTATCATGTATACTGATCGCGGTTATCGCGGGGTTTAACGAGAAAAATAAATAGGCTCATGCGAATCCTTACATCGTCGTCGATGGTGTAGGTACCGTGGTATAATATGCTATTATTTATTAGCATTATTAGTAGATTAGTAACTATTAATAATTACACGACGTGAAAGACAGAAGTGGCTGGTACATGCGGTACTATAATTGTGGTTGATGCGGTTAGGTTAGGTTAGGTTATTTTACATAAGCATCTAAATAGTATATACATTTTAGCGAAATTGGATATTTATGCGTAAAATAACAATTATTCATCATCAAACGATTTTGGTTTCTTTGTTATTATTCAAAAAGTATTAATAATTGTAGAAACTTGAAACATTATAATGTTACTTAAATTATCACGAAATTTGATACTATAATTTTTTTTTTTTAATGTTAATATATATAAAAGTTTGAATATTTAATACAAGGTTCCTTTATTGAAAACAAAAAATATAAAAAATTATTTTTACACATTTTGTTTTATACAGAAACTTTAAATTAAAATTGGGACGAAAAAAATATATTTACCTATATAAGAAAGAATGTGATTTTAATTACTTTGTTGTAATTCCAATATATCAGAGATATTCAAATTGTGCATCACACAGCTCCCAGAGACGTCGCAAGTTTGCAAAGGGAGCCGCGCCAAAGATCCAAAAAACGACATCATACCTAGGTGTTGTATAATTATCATACATATTATTTGCAATCATTATGGAAAATGAAAATAGAATATACTTATATAAACATTCGGTGAAAATTTCTTGTATCTATGGTCACTTTTTTTAATGTGACATCAAAAACCAAAATCGATTTTGTCGAAAACTGATTGTGCGTAAAATCTCCCATTTTTTCCTTAATTTTTAGTTTGTATATCCCGATTATTTAGATAATATTAAAAAAAATTTACTTTTGGACTCCCCCCCCCCCAAAGTACCAACTAGATTCACTTTCTGATCGAACGAAGCACTGTAGTCAAAAATCGAAGCACTTTTACTGCCCCAAAACGTGATAACAGACACAAAAAAAATAAAAACATACATCATGGTGAAATCAATACATTCATCGCTCCTCTCAGAATCTAATAATACATGTCAGACTGTCTTTGCTCAGATTTGTTTTTCGTACACAATGATTGATCATTGAATTCAAATTTAACACATGATTAAAACAGTGGCTTACGCAATGAAAATGTACAGTTGGCATCTACAACTGTACAACATAAGGTTTATCTACTTCTTTTTTTTTACATTAGGTTTTTGTAGTGATATTGGTTATTATTAGCAGCCTGCGTACAATGATTCTCTGAAAGAAAAGTGTCCGTTACAATTTATCCATAATATGTACAAAGACTGTCGTAGCAGCAAATGTTTTTTTTATTTTTTTTAAGACACTCCAATTACGGAAATAAACCATTTTTTTTACTCTCTAATAAATCATTTATATTTTTCTAAGTTATAAAAATCGCATATATTTTGAAATCTGGTTTTATTTTTATGCACAGGAAAACTGTATAATATGTAAATTTGTTCGGCAAATTAATGATATGAATAATTGATAAGGGGCTCGCTTCGCGTGAAGAATGTGGTATTCTGTTGACGGAACCTAAGTTAATACCATAACGACGGCCATTAAAGAGGTATCTATGCTGTATGCGACGTGTAGTATTTTCTAAAAGGCTAATGGATGTTGGTCAAAGATAAGAGGATTAGGATGACATTATGGATATATGGTGTCAGAAACCTTTTGAAATAAGCTTGGCTACTTCGTCTGCCATTTGAAATCAGTATCTAAGTAGCTTATGTAATTTCTAACCAARAAATGGACAATTTTATTAAGAAATGATAAATTAATAACTACAATAATGTAGCATATTAAACCGTTCTCCCACACCGTGATGTACCTAAATTGCCTACACAAGGCGCCGTCCTACATATTTGTTTAAAAAAATAAACCTGGTACGTGACTTATAACCATAAGTGTAGTGGCTTCGAAAATCATACTGGTTTACATAAATCGTCAACGTCACCAAATATTTTTAACAATTATAAGCAGCACCGTAAATACTCAAATAAACAAATATGAGCCGTCCTAACGAAACGAATGTTGCTGCTGTATAATAATTTAAAACAAAAACAATGTTTAGAGCTAAACAACGGCTGTGATGTATACGCTATGTTCCAAAAAAATTGGTATTTAAATTTCCAAATTCCCTAATACGGCAGTATGGAGATAGTATACTGTACGGCGATATGGATTTTGATTTATCGTATCGATGTAATATGAGATATAACGGCATTAATTCCAAGGACTAGATAAAATTCAGTTTATGTTTTTGTAATATGCATAAGATCAAATTCGGTTTAAGCAATTGGTTATATTATTTGTTTATAACGAAGTATTGTTGACGGTGTACTATAGTTGACTGCCGCGCGTTATAAATGATGCTGACTGAAGTAAATTTTACATCTTCCACGTACTTTATATTTTCTAATCATTATTAATCTTAACTACCGATCCACCATCATCCCGCTCACCACAACTCTCATAGATTGACCCCTAGAGCAGTAGTATAATATATTTATAAAAACAAAATAATATAATATAAGAAAAAATGTAATCGTGTTTTTCCAGGTTCAAGGAGGCCAGGAGGTATTCTAACATCGACGTTTGCGATAAAATTGCTGCACCCGTACCGGCTCGGCGGCGGGCGTCGGAGCTACCTCCAAACTCGACGCTGCAGCCCGCGACCACGGCTGCAACACAATCTTCCGGGATCGTGTGTACAAACACCGATCTACAGTCGATAATGAACTCGTTGAAGTCGACGGCAACCAAAGCGTTACAGTCGACCAAAGGTGGTGGCCCGCGGCAACAGGTCAGCAGCAAGACCACAGACAGCCTCCCGACGGCCGTGGCCGGTGAATTCAACGGCGGTGACCGTCGCCGGGACGTTCTCCGAGCAGCTCGGTCCAACAGCGTGGATGTGGCCAACATAGGCGCGGCGGCGGCAATGGCGGCCACGGCGGCGGGCAACAGCACCAGGAACTGGTTCAGGAAAATGTCCACCAGGACGGCGACCGTGGTTTCGATGGCCGGGGGACAGCGGGGAGCCGACGCTGAGTGCGTGGAACAGCGTCTGACTACCGGCGGTGAATACGTGGTACAAAAGTCACCGGTCGTCGTGACTTTTGCCGACGAACGGCCGAAAGTGTCACTGTTGATCGAGCCGTCGTCCGGAAGCAAACCGGAAAAGCACTGCGCGGCGCCGCTGTCCCCGCCGCCACTGCCACCGCCATTGCCGTCGTCGTCGTCGTCGTCGTCCGTAGACAAGAAACCGGCGCCCAACGGTGGTGACGTCGTAGTGTGGGACCGGCCCACCGGTTCGGTGGTGAACGCCGAGGTGTTGGGCACGGCCATCGAGGGTTTCTTGGCAGCCAAGAAGACGGGTGACAGCGCCGACGCGTCGCCGACCGCCGACGGTGAGCACCACGAACACCTGTCGCAGCAGCAGCCCTCTGGCGGCAAGCCAATCACCAAAACGTCGGCTGACCCGAACACGCCGGCCCGCACGTGCGACACGTCCATCTGTTCGTCGCTCAAAGATCTTTTCGTCAAATAGCTATAAGACGGCTCGTGCTGGTCGATTAGCCTACGTAATTAATTCTATATTACGATTAATTACGACATATTGTTATCATATTGACAATGTGGACTACAATGTTATACATATTATAATAATGCTCCCAAACAATAGTCGTGTTTTGAGCAAATTGTTTACCAGTTTGAGCGAACAAACTAATACCTAATTAGTTAAACCGGTAATCAGGTTGCTGAAAACTGCATCGTCAAAACACGACTAACGATACTCTATCTACCGTGTAAGCGACCTCCACCCCCCATATATTATACCCGGCATATTCCATCCCGACCACGACCTTTAGTAACTCTCAAAAGGGGGTTTTATCGATTCCGCCGTTTTAATATCAATTCCGCCGGCTATCGACTCCGCCGAGCTTTTTTATTTATTGATTCCGCCGGCTATCGATTCCGCCGAACTTTTTTATTTATTGATTCCGCCGGCTATCGATTCCACCGACTATGTATTTTTAAATCAATTTTTTTAAAGTTTAAATATAAATATTTCAAAAAATAAT